CAAGTATTCGTGAAATTTTTTCAGTATTTTTAAGATCTACTATCCTACTTGTAGCAGAGACAAATCCAACAAATCAAAAACAATGAAAATTGGTCCAGCAGATCTTTATATATATAGCTTCACAGCTCTCTCTATATATAGATAAAGATAATAGCTATAATAATATATGAGTGTACTTATGTACATATGTATGTATAGAGATAATCATGAAAACGCTAAAATTTTGTATAAGCGTGGAAAACGCTTTTAAGATTTGGGTATTCCGTGCACTAACAGGAAAAAGCTGGGATCGTCGCAAACAAACTTCAATTTTTGTGCGCTGCTGAGCTTGTTGAGAGAGAGAGAGAGAGAGAGAGTGAAGATAGAAATACTGTATGAGATAGAAATACTGTATGCGTGCTTGCAGTTCACTGGTTTGTTCGAGCACATTTTTCGGTGTGCAAAATATTTGTTCTGCGTGTCTAGTCTATGTGTTCTATGGTTATTGATATGGGTAAGCAAAACATTACATCTTATATTCACATTTAAATAGTTTGAGTGTTTGTTAGTGTCCAAGGTAGATTTAGATTTTATTCACTTGCATGATTTTATAAACTCATGGAAAAAAAACCAAAAGATTAGGCAGTGCACTACGGTACTTATAGCATCCAAGATCAATTCCTTGGGCTCTCCACACTTCGCTTTGCATATTCCCACATAAAAGCTGTTATAAGCTGAGTACCCATTAAATAATTGGGTACGCTGATTCTTTCGTTGACAGGAGATCCACCACAGTCGTTCCTGGCAATAGGCAAGACTAGCACATTTTTCTTTAAACAGTGTTGAATTACAGAAGGTGCTAATAGTGCACCTCCATCGCGAATAAAATTGGGATTTAGCTGATAAGTATGAGTCATTGCCCGAAAAGCTGCTTGATATTCAGGGGTATCACAACTTCCACTCCAGGGGGGGACTACCAATTTCTCACATAACTTCATTTTATTTGGAGAGCCACGCCGTACCCACATGTCTCCAAGATGCTGTTGCAGGGCATTGGTTATCTGTTCAGAATTTTGATTCGGTGGCATTGAAATTGAAAACTTTCCGATAACCTTATGTGGAATAATAAAGCGTGCACTACTTTCAGTATTACCTCCTTCGATCCCATGTATGGATAGGTGAGGTGCTATCCAGTTTTCAGCTAATGCAGCTTGCTTTTGAGCTTTATGTGGAAGATCTTGAACATCAAGGCAATGACCAAACTCCTGGTAGTTAAATTCAGTAAAGCGAAAGACGTTTCGATCTATTTGAAATGTTTCCATCGAGTCTTCAAAAAGAATGTGCATTTCACAGTCAACTAGTGCGCTAAGCAAATAAAATAAATCCGGTAGTGCCTCATACAAAGTTCCACAGTGCTCACAGCTGCTTAGAGATCTATTGGCACACTCGACTTCTAAATTATAGTATACGAGTCCTCTTGAACCATATACAATACATGGAGTAATATTATTTTGCCAACGTCTTGTAGCTATTACTACACATGATACTTCTCGAAAAAAGCTTATGCGCTGTTGTAGAACATCTTGGAGGCCTAAGCTGCCGCTATGTGCCATACTTTCAATAACGAATACAATGTTAATTGGTAGACATAGGCCAGCATCACGATATGCTTGAATTGCGTTCAGCCAACACATGAGAGGTCCTTTATCGAGCGCAACACCTCTTCCATATAAAAAATTTCCTACCTCAGTCATAACAAATGGGTCAGTAACCCAGCCGTCCTCTATCAATGCTTCCTCCACATCAAGATTACCGTACACTAAAATTGTTCGCTTCTCTAAATTATTTTTAAGAACTCCAATAATAATTTTTGGCATACGTATAATTTTCAAAGAATCAGGTAATATTTGCATACCCATATGTTCACCAAATGCTAGCACATTCAAAGCAACTAGTCGTTTTAAAAGCCATTCAATAGCATGATCCATTTTGTCGCGCGTGTCATCACGGCTGGATACGGTTTCATGACCCACTAATTCCCATAAATCATTAATGTAGCACTCGCGCTTCATTAATATGACCTCAAATAGGCGGATAAGTGGATTTATTGGTATTGTTGGTAAATTCCTTTGTCGTACATATTCGGTTGAATTGTTAAAACGTTGACTCATGGCTTAACAAAATATTTACAAATAATTTTTCACGTTTACAAAAGGGGAATAACTATGAACTTTTTCCGTTGTAAATTATAACCCATGGCTTCCTTTTTTAATTATACCCTAAACCCACTTTCCATTGGAAATCAGTGTATAATAATGGTTTTGTTAAAAGTATGAAACAGGCAGAATAATTTATATGTATATATATTTTATATAATATCGATTTTTACCCCCCACCGCTATATCCACCGCTTCACCGTCACCTTTGTAAAAGCCGTATTTCGAGTGCTAGAGACTCGTGGCATATACACGAACTTTAATGTTATAATAAGGTGCTGAAAATGTTATGAGCATATATCATCAACAATAAAAGTTATTATGCTAATCGCATTTGACTAGTAAGCCCACACTGCAGCCAAAGCGTGTGTGTGCATGCATCCTTATGCTTTGCGGTGTGTGAGTGTGTATGCTTCAGTAAGATTCAAAGAATTATTGTGAAATATAAGTATCTATGGACGCGTCGATTTCAGAAGATATAAGAGCTAGAGAGACTTCTACTTTTTTTTTTTTATGTCCGTATATATCACGCGCATATCGAGTTTTTGACTAAAAAACGATAACTCATTCCGATATTTTTTATCGATAAAACTTAAATAATTATATCTCCTACATCTTTCAAGCTAGAGTCTCCAAAATTGAAATGTATATTAAGAATTTTATACAATTTCGGTTTTTGTCAAAGTTTACCCCCACCTCCAAATACACCCCCTCGCCCTCATCTTTGTAAAAGTCGTATATCGAATACTAGAGACTAGTGCTTCGGTATACACATACATTTAAACATTATGATTACGTTCTGAAAGTT